GAAGAATTTAGTAGGAAAAAAAGACATAAATTAAAAGATTATTTTCATAAATACCCTCTAAATTATGTACTCAATTTTAAAATGTATTTTAATTTTTTAAAACCGTTCAAAATACCCCCTAAATATATAAAAAACGTATTCAATTATTCATTCCATATACTTCCGCCTATAATCTTAACAGAGTTGTTGACGTGGTATTTATTAAAAATTAATTAGACAATTAAATTCTAATTAAATATATTAAAAAAAACAAAATAAAATTTTATTTCTTCTTCCTTCAGCCTACCACTTCCCAAAATCCCCTTTTCTCCCTGATTGAAAACCCAAAATCCTATGAGGACGTTTGGTTTATATATTCAGAATTATGATTCAGAATCATTCTCGTTTTATGTGTATTTTTTATGAGAGAAAGTACTGTAGAGAATCATGAATTATGATTCAGAATCAGAGACGGATATATGAAACAAACGTCCCCTATAACTCCCCTCCATCAAAATCCACCACCCACTCCTTAGTGAGAGATCTAACTGCCACCCATCCCCACCACATTTCCCGTCGTAAGATCGGTGTCTCCGTTGACCTCTCCAACAAGAGCGCCTACACCCTTTGTTGGTCGACTGTCCACCACTACATTCCCCGACGACGCCATCCTCCTCCCCCATGTCAGCTTACCTCCATCCTATTCGACATTCCGCGCCTTCACTTGCATCCAAGGCGACCGATCTCGCGAAGTCGCTGAGTGAGGCACATATACCATAAAAAGATCTACGTTTTCAAGCAATGGGAAGCTCAAGATTTATCAAAATTTGTTAGTTAATTATTATTATTATTATGTTTTTTTTTTTTGTTTTGTAAATTTGTGTTATGTAGTCTTTGCTCGTTGCTTGGTTTCTGAGAAAATTTTTTTCTAGTAAGAAAATTTTCAGGTAAAAATTTGTTGCTGAACATCATAGACTGAAATTTGGTGATGGAAATTATCCCTTATAATCTTGGGAGAAAGAGGGAAATAGGCCAAGACTTGAGATCAATTAAAATTAATAGGCAAATAGTTTACATAAGTTAATAAATAGGCCAAATTACTGTTTTCGTCCATAACTTGTCTGGTTATGAACCATAACTTGACAAGTTATTCCCGGTTTTTGTCCATAACTTATTTGGTTATGAACCATAACTTGACAAGTTTGTCCATAACTTATCTGGTTATGAACCGTAACTTAACAAGTTATGGCCTATAAATTTCTATAACTAAAAGTTGGCCTATATACTTTCTTAAGCTTTTCATATTGGCCTATTTTCTACTATTTCTCTATAATCTTCACCATGTTGTCTTGTGAATTTGAAAGGAAAATTGATGGCTAAAAGCTCAAAAGGTTCTCGATGCAAGGCTTCAACTTTTTTCAGGAAGTTGGTGTTCTTGATTCTAAAGTTGATATTTTATATTTGTTTAAAATAGATTTAAATGATTTATATTTGGATTTTTATTAATAATTAAAGCTTTTATGTTCAAATACTAGTTATAAACATTTAATGACATGCCACCTCAATAATCTGTTAAGATTATACACATAAATAGATAGAGCAAGTATTTTGAATCGTTTTTTTATATATCAAGAGGTGTTTTGAACTGTTTTAAAAAATTAAGAGGCACTTTAAAATAAAATACACAATTTAAAAATATTTATGAAAATAATCCTAAATTAAATACTTACAATTTATACAACTTAAAAATAACGAATAGAAAATTATGCTTTCCCATCTTTATGTTTTTAGTCATATTCTAATTTCGCAAATACAAAATGACCATTCTACAACATAATTAAAGTTTTACAAAAGCACTTCAAGTAGTTTTGGCCTCTTTCCATTTAACCCATCAAACTTAAATACTTTTCTTATAATTCTCTACCATAATTTTAGCAACTATGACCATTATAGCTATCTCATTTTAGTGCAAAATCATGTATCTAAAAGATTAAATTAAAAAACTTGATGAATATAAATGCACGTGTCTTATACGTGCAATCTCTTACTAGTATATGAAAAAGTTAAAACCATGATTGGAATGAAAAAGAACTTGACTTAATTCTTTCGTCAACTAGCATCTGTGAGAGTTTAAAATCACATCATTTCTAGCCTTATTTGACATATCTATGAGAAGTATAATTTGCGGTCTTAAAAATGGACAATAAAGATCGATCCTTGATAGTAGAAAAGAAAGTCATGATTCGTTTTTCGGTGAAAAATTTGCTACATTTGTGTGTTGGAAGGTAAAAAATTATACAACATGCCAAAATAATAGATTTATTACAGTGTAAAACCTATAAATATATATATATATATATATAAATATATAAGCTGGAGATGCGGGGGATCGAACCCCGTGCCTCTCGCATGCAAAGCGAGCGCTCTACCATTTGAGCTACATCCCCACGTTCCAATATCTGACAATGACTTTTAGATCTCAAAATTAGTATTCACAAGCTTCATTAAATCACCAATAATAAGTAGGGCTGTTCATGGGTTGGGTTGGTGTGGGGTGGGACTTTTTTTTCTCCGCCCCAAAGGGTGCGGGTTGCACATATTTAGCCCAACGATGTTAGAAAAATTTCACAACCCAACGATGTTCGGGTTGGGTTGGGGCGGTGCGGGGTGGGTTGGGTGGTCGGTTTCAACATTCAAAAAATCAAAGACTTAAAGTTCAATATAATATTCAAACTTCATTATTAAATAGAAATAGCAACCATCCTTATCAGTCCGGCGAGAGAGCACCGGAGAAAGTGGGCAAGACGGCGGCCAAGAGGACTGAGCAATGAGGAGAGAGTTATGAGGGGGTTCACGGGAGGGGAAGAAGAGGGAAAACTGAAAAGGAAGAGGCAAGAATAGGGGGTTCACGGGAGGGGAGACCGAGAATGAGATTGTGAACCCTAATGTTAGCGAGCCTAGGGTAGAACTTGGGCAGTTCGGCTTAGGCCGAAAGCTTGGGGGTATGTTGTGCGGGTTGGGTTGGGGATTGCGGGTTGTTATGGGCCCAACCCGCAATCCGCCCCAAACACTTCGGGTCAGAGGTATAATGAGCTGTAAATTTAAAAATAATGCTGCGGGTTGCCTTTTTCGGCTTGGGTTGGGGCGGGGTGGGTTGGGTTTGCGGGTTATTCGGGTTTATGAACAGCCCTAATAATAAGACACGAGATCACAGGAACCGTTCTTGATAAAAGCTGTTGTGATCCCTAACAACAATTTCTTTACTGTACATAACTATTTTTTATAGCAGAATGCCTGTCGAGGCATATATATATATATATATATATATATATATGCTAAGATTCTTGAAAATATAAAGAACAAAAATGGATATGTAATGGTTTAATTAAAATTTACAGCGCTTGTTTACATAAATGTTTTCACTTTGTACATAGACAATTTTCAACGTAGTGTTGATTAAGAAAAATTTCATAAATCGTATTGGTTTTAGTTTTTTTTTTTTATATCATCATCTCGTTAGATTGTTTCAGTAATTTATTAGTTATCGCAAGTCATTATAAAATGCGCCATTATAACAACAATAGCTATAATTACTTGTGATATATAGGGCGCGATATATAGGGCGCGTTTGGAACTTATTTCAAAATAATTTTATTTTTTGTATGAAAATAAAAATGAAAATGAAAACGTTTTCAATTTAAGACAGAAATCATTTTTGAAAATGCATTTGATAGTTTTATCAAGGGATTATTTACAGTGTAAAAAAAATTATTAATGTAAAAAAACCCATTAATGCTCGAGAGAGGAGAAAATGAAAACAAAAAATGAAAAACAACTAAAAGTCATTTTTTATTTTTCTCTCATTTTACACTAAATTAAAAAATCATTTTTATTTCTTTTTTTTATCTTTATTGCGTCAAGCGTCGTTTTGAAAATGTTTTTATTTTTTCTTTATCAAAAAACATAAAAAATAAAAATGAGATCAATTCCAAACATGGCCATAGATTTTTAAAAACAAAAGAGTGGATGTTAAAAACGTAATAAAAAAACATAGGAAATAACTATATGGAATTCATTTTCAAATACCAATGGAATTCATTCTCTTAAAAAAGATATGGAATTCATTTGTAAATCTGTAATTTTCTTTTTAACTCTATGCATTGTAAATCAAAGGATACATTAGTCCAAACAAACTCCAAATACAAGCGGGAAAATGTTAACAAATTACAACTACAACATATGCAAATTGGAGCAAAAAAATTTAAAATAAGAAATGGAAAAACTTATTCTGGTTTTATTTTTTTTTTATTATTTACTGTTTGCTAAAAAAGATTTTTCTTTTTATATTATTCTGCTTTTATTTTTTATTTTTATTATTTATTGTTTGCTACAATGATTTTTGTTTTTATATTTTGGTTTCCATTGGTCATTTGGACTCATTCCAATGAACTATAACGTTATTATTCCATAAACATGCCACGTTATGATTCAAGAAAGCGAGTGTTGGCATTTCATATACTCGAGAGACTAGTTCTATTGACCATATTTTTCCGGCGCGGGTCATAAATCAAAAGGGAGCGTGGCATTTCCGTAATTTCGCTGTGAATTAAGCCGAGTTTCTAACTTATAAACAGGGAAAAAAAGAATACAACTAAAAGCACAAATATTTTTCGACAATTCCCAAATGCAAACCAAAATTATGCTATTTAAAATCCAAAACAGAATTATGTTAATTAAGTTGCACGTATCCGTCAAAACACGCTCCTGATCCCGTCCGTCCACGTGTACTAAATTGACGACGGTCGTCCACGTTCCGTTCGTTTGCCACGAAACTGTTGATCCACCAACCACTTGTTTCGGAAATCGAACCACAGGAATAAAACTTCTACCTCAAGTTTTCAATCCAACGGTTCCTAATTGGCCACGTGTAAGGTCCACCTATTTCCGTAAATTCGTTCTATTTTCCGATTTACTTATTTTTCTTTTTTGTTATTTTCGATCTAAACCCTTTTTCGCTCGTCGAGCCAAATGAAACCCTAGCTCTCTCCTCCGTCTCTCTCGCGGTAAAAAAAAGAAAAAAGAAAAGGGGAATTAGAAATCTGAAATTGTCGAAAATCAAATTCCAAAATTGGAGAAATCTAATTAGGGTTTCAAATCAGGAGGTCCGAATTCAAACCCTAATTCATGGTTCTCGTGTGTGATCTTCACGATTGGGTGGGGCAGATGATGGGCTCTGGCATTTCGGTCGAGGTGCGTACACGATTAGTTGCGATTTTGATGATTTTATGTTGTTTTATTCGAATTTGTTTAGGAATAAGTTGAATGGGTTGGGGAAAAGGCATGATCCTTTGATTTATGGTTTTTCTCGGATGTTTGTTTTTCATTTTTGTGATTTTTAGTTTGAATTTGGTTTTACAGATCTGAATATTGCGTAAAGGGCATGTATGATGGAATGTGAAAATTGCTTGTTTCCGATTTTGGATTTTGTATTGAGATATTGTTGATGGAAAATAGAATAGAATCCTCAGATGGCGCGGAAGTTCCCAGGAAATCGAGATCTTTGGATCTTAAGAGTTTGTACAAACATAGAGTCACAAAAGACGTCCAAAATAAGAAATTGAAGAGAAAGGCTAGCGCGGATGATGGTGATGAGAATAGCGAGAAGAAGAAGAAAAAGAGTGTAAAAGAGGTGTCTCTTAGTAGTTTGAAGAATACTAGTAGTAGTAGTAAGAAGAATGTAGATAAAGATTGTCATAAAGGGTTGAGTTCTGGTTTGCATGACTCCAAGGATTTGAAGTTGGAGGCAAAACAAAAATTGAACGGCAGTATTGGGTTTAAGAGCATTTCATCCCTTAGTTTGAATGATGATGTCATTCAAATCCCTAGGCGCAAACGGGGGTTTGTGGGGCGAAAGAAAGGTGAAGGTGGCCATGTGCCGAGGCGGCAAGGCCTGTCTTGTGGTAAACTGGACCTTGTTGATCAGATAAGTAAATTAAGTGGGGATGACTCAGGAAGTCAGGTTGAGTCTGTGAAGGTTAAACGAACCAAAGGTTTTGACGATTTCAAGGAAAACAGAATTAGTGAGTCAAACTCAGCTAGGCATGCAGAGGAAGAACATGAGCGTGTGAATCATCTGGTTGTAAGCAATGGAGATTCGTTGTTCAAGAAGTCACGGAGGAAACGGAGTAAAACTAAAAATTTATCACCCGATGATAAGGTTGGTGCGAAGGAAGCAGAGCCCTTGGCTGATAATTCTACCATGATGTGTAATGACTCGCAGGAAGATGACGAGGAGAATCTTGAAGAGAATGCAGCTATGATGCTTTCATCACGGTTTGATCCAAACTGTACTGGCTTCTCATCAAACAAGGCTTCCGCATTTGCAACTGTGGACGGGTTGTCATTTCTTTTATCTTCTGGTCGTGATTTTGTTAGTCGTAGATCAAGGTCTCTATCTGGTTCTGAATCTCCATCAGTTGATGCTGCTGGAAGAGTATTGAGGCCAAGGATACAGCACAAAGAGAAAGGACATTCAAGGAAGAGACGGCATTTTTATGAAGTTTTCTTCGGGGACTTGGATGCTGATTGGGTGTTGAACCGCAGAATCAAGGTCTTTTGGCCTCTGGACCAGAGCTGGTATTACGGTCTTGTGAATGATTATGACAGAGAAAAGAAACTTCATCATGTTAAGTATGATGACCGTGATGAAGAATGGATTGACCTTCAAAATGAGAGATTCAAACTCCTCCTACTTCCTAGTGAAGTTCCTGGTAAAGCGGCTTGCAGAAGATCAAGGATTCGAGATAGAAGTTCTGTTCAGAGAAAAAGTAGCTCGAAGCCCAAAAAAGAAAAGAAAAAAGGAGATATTTCAATGCAGGATGATAGCTGCATAGGCAGCAACTATATGGACTCGGAGCCGATCATTTCTTGGTTGGCTCGGTCTAGACGCCGAGTCAAATCTCCTTTCCATGCTCTGAAGAAACAGAAACCATCTGATTTATCTGTGAAGCCTGTGCTGCCACCATTTTCTAACAATGCTGTCAATTCCAATAGGTGTTTTGAAAGTGGTACTGTGAGGAGGGATAAAAGAAAATTTTCCAGAAATTCTAATTTGTCAGGCAGGTTTGCTAACGATGCAATGAAGGAGGAATCTACCTCAGAAAGCATCAGCTGCCCCAAAGATAGCAAAATGCCTATTGTTTATTTTAGGAGGCGGTTCCGCAAAACTGGCCTAGAATTGTCTCGTGGATGTGAGGACAATCATGCGTGTAGAAACACACTTGATCCCGTTACTTCTTTTGCTCCTGCTGTTGATGATACCAGGGATTGGGTAAAGTGGGATGTACTTTTGGGAAGGTTGGACCTGGGTGGACTATTGTGGTCTGTTGATGATGCAGGTTTGCTGAAATTAATGCTTCCAGGGTTAGAATCAGGGAAGTTTAAGTTTGACGTCGACTTTCCAATTCTTTCGGGTCTGTATGACATATTTGGAGTGGAGAACCTTTGGTTGAGTCATTCTGCAGTGCTGCTTCATTATGGCACCGTGATGATCAGATGGCCACAGGTTCATCTGGAAATGCTTTTCGTCGATAATGTATTTGGATTAAGGTTTTTATTGTTTGAAGGTTGCTTGAATCAGGCTTTGGCCCTTGTTTTTCTGGTAGTGAGGACATTTCATCAACCTACTGAACGCGTGAAGTTTGTTGATATGCCAGTAACCTCAATCAGGTTTAAGTTGACATGTTTCCAACATCATAAAAAGCATCTAGAATTTGCATTTTGCAATTTCTCTACGGTGGAGAATTCAAAGTGGATATACCTGGATAGGAAACTCAGAAGGCATTGTTTAGTGACCAAGCAACTCCCTTTGCCTGAATGCACTTATGATAATATTAAGATGCTTCAGAATAGAACAGTCCATTTGCCTCTTAGATCAGTTTGTGGGCAGCCATCCTTCATCAAGGTACTTATTTATTTATTTCATTAGCATGACATTAGGTGATCTATATTTTTTAGCAATTTTAAACACGTTGTATTTCTCATATGATTTTGCTTTGGTGTCAGATATTCAAGTCCTCTGTTGCTTTTGTTTGATATATATATATATATATATATATATATATCGGTGCGTTAACTGCTATCAATGGTCAAATAATGAGAGTACTAAGATTTATTTGATGTGCCCCCTTATTCTGTTTTCATAAATTCTTGGTCACGTGTGGTGTTAATTTCTGTATATTTTCTGATCAGGGTACACGGAAGAGGTTGAGGCAGGGAATTAATTTCATGGGTATTTCCAGGGAATCTGCTTTTATGGACATTGGCCGTTCTTCTCATTTTGATAAAATGTACAAAAAGCTTCCTCCACTTGCTCTTTCTTTTACTGCTGCACCCACGTTTTTTCTTAGTTTGCATCTCAAGATGCTTATGGAACACTCTCTGGCTCATATTAGCCTTCGGGAGCATGATTCAGAGGAACACCTAGAAAACTCTTGCAGTATGACAGCAGATGACAGCTCTAGTATGGAGGAGTACTCGAATAAAGGTTCAGAAATGTCTCTTGAGGAGAATACAAAGGCTTTGTCAGGTGAAGTTGCTTCTGATGGATGTTTCTCCTCTGGTAGACCAGAGCTAAGCAATGGTCTTTCAGTTTGCTGTGACAGGGATCAGATAAAAGCTTCCCAGCCTTGCCACAATGGTGATGCTATTGCTGCTGGAACTTCTGCTGATTCCCCGGTTCATAAAAAGATAAGAACTGATGCTACTGTTCAGTTGCAGGCATGGAAGGGCCACCATTCAGAATCAGATCAATCTGCTTTATTATCAAGGAGTTTAGATGACAGGGATAAGTCTGAAAAAGGTTCTCAGTCCTTTGTGAATGGTCTTAGTGTTGAAATTCCACCATTTAACCAGTTTGAGAAGTCTGTTGATGGGGAGTTGCATGGTGCTCAGCAGGCTACTGATCTTTCTTGGAATACAAATGGTGCCATCTTCTCTAGCCCCAACCCCACTGCTCCCAGAAGCACGTGGCATCGAAATAAGCAAAATTCATCATTTGGACACCTCTCACATGGTTGGTCAGATGGTAAGGCCGATCCTGTTTATAATGGTTTTGGCAATGGACCCAAGAAGCCACGAACTCAGGTCTCCTATTTGTTGCCGTTTGGAGGTTTTGATTGCAGCCCAAAGCAGAAAAGTATACAGAAAGGGCTTCCTTCTAAACGACTTAGGAAGGCTAGTGAAAAGAGGTCATCAGATGTTTCCAGAGGCTCTCAAAGGAATTTGGAATTGTTATCTTGTGATGTAAATATTTTGATAACTGCCACTGACAGAGGATGGAGAGAATGTGGAGCACAGGTTGTTCTGGAGCTTTTTGATGATCATGAGTGGAAGCTTGCTGTGAAACTATCAGGGGTAACAAAATACTCCTACAAGGCACATCAATTTTTGCAGCCTGGGTCAACAAACCGTTTTACACATGCTATGATGTGGAAGGGAGGAAAAGATTGGACATTGGAGTTTATGGATAGAAGCCAGTGGGCTCTATTCAAAGAGATGCATGAAGAATGTTACAATCGGAACATTCAAGCTGCTTCTGTGAAAAGCATTCCTATTCCCGGTGTCCGTTTGGTAGAGGAAGGTGATGATAACGGAGCGGAATTAGCATTCGTTCGCAGTTCTGCTAAGTACTTCAGACAGGTTGAAACAGATATTGAGATGGCTCTGAATCCATCACGTGTTTTATATGACCTGGATAGTGATGATGAACAATGGATTATGAAGGCCAGAAGTTCTTCCGAGCTTGACAGTGGAAGTTTGGGAAAGATATCTGAAGAAATGTTTGAGAAGACCATGGACATGTTTGAGAAGGCTGCATATGCTCACCAACGTGATCAGTTGACGTTAGAAGAAATTGAGGAGCTCACAGTTGGGGTTGGTCCCATGGATGTAATTAAAGTGATTTATGAGCATTGGAGGCTGAAAAGGCAGAAGAATGGGATGCCTTTAATCCGACATCTCCAGGTACTTTCTGGTTTAACTTCTCTATCATCATCATGAAATATAAGGTAGTTGTGAAATAAAAAATATAAAAAAATCATTAAGTCACCATTCAGGTGAATGAGTTCTCCATAAAAACTCGGGGAACAACTGAGAACAATGTCTGTTAATTGTCTAACTGATGGTATTGGTTTGAATGTTTACCTCGGATAAAATACATTTGCTCTTTTTTTTCCCCCACCCCTTTTGGATTCCTTTGACAGCTAGACCATTGGCTATGAAAAAAAAAAAAGTTGACAATATCATAGTGATTTCATTAATCTCAATGCTGATTGCTTAGTAGCTTGTTCACCTTTCATTTTTGTATCGACTTGGTATAATTTTATGGAATATGGACTGGTTATCAAATTTATTGCATGTTTCTGGGTTGATTTTTATCTTCCTTTTTCATTTGTTTGCTATTCCTTTGAAAATTGAGGGTAACTTAGGTCCATATATTTGTTTATTTCAGCCGCCATTGTGGGAAAGGTACCAACAAGAAGTGAGAGAGTGGGAGCTGGCTATGACCAGAATCAATGCCAATCTTCCTAATGGATGCCAGGAGAAAACCGCACAAATTGAGAAGCCACCCATGTTTGCTTTTTGTATGAAACCCCGAGGTTTGGAAGTTCCCAATAAGGGGTCAAAACAGAGGTCCCACAGGAAGATCTCAGTTTCTGGGAAAAGCAATACCACCTTTGGGGATCAGGATGGTTTACATGCTTATGGTTAGTCCTTTATCCTGTAATCATTATTTTGCTTTTCAAACGAAAGAGTTAAATCTCATTTTGCTCTCAATATTTTTTGAACCTTGGCTACATTCTATGTTTCTTTCAGGGAGAAGATTGAATGGGTTTTCTTTTGGGGATGAAAAGTTTGTATACCCAGGCTATAATTATGATTCGTTAGAGGATTCACCATTGCCTCAGACACCACGTAGGATGTTTTTACCACGGGATGCAGGTAGCATGTCAATGACCAATTACGGGCTTGACAGAAATCATTCCTATAAATTTCAGAGGAGCAAGTCAAAGAAATATGGAAATACTGTTTCGCCTAACAACCCTCAGACAATGGGTTTATACGGTCACAGAGTGGTAGGAAACGGAAGCAGAAACGGGCTGCATAGGTGGAATATGGGCTTCTCTGAGTGGTCAAGTCAGCAGCACTTCCAACCAGAGCCGTCCCAGAGGCATTTCATTGAGCAGTTAGATGGTTCTGATCTCGACGAGTACAGAGTGCGCGATGCATCCAGCGCAGCTCAGCGCGCACTCAACATTGCCAAGCTCAAGAGAGAAAAAGCTCAGAGATTGGTCTGCAGGGCAGATTTTGCAATTCACAGGGCTGTGGCTGCTCTTATGACTGCCGAAGCAATCAGAGATTGTCCTGAAGATGACTCGGACTCGGATGGTGACGACTGACGGGTTGCATCGGAATGGTAAATTTGGACCATTCAATTCAGCCTGCTTTTTGTGCAGCCAGAGAGAGAGAGACTTCCTCACTAATACATGAAATTCGGGATTTTTTTTGCTAGAAATGGAAATCTGGTTTTTACAACAACAGTGGTGGCCTTTTGAGCTTCTACTAACATGAGAGCCATATTCAGTGAGTAAAGAAAGAAGAGATCACCTTCACAAGCAGCAACTTCCCTGGTTCTCTCCTCCTATATGATGACCTTCTTTTTTGCCAGCTTTTTAGCACTAAGTTCAGTGCAACTGTTTGTGCTGAACCTGCGGGTTTAGGGGTGTATGGGATTTTGGCTTCCCATCTCTTTTGTACAGAATTTTTTTTTTCCTTGTTTTTTTTTTCTTCCTCTCCCCCTTAAAATTTTTTTTTTCAAGTGTTCGATTAAAAAAAAAAAAAAAATAGCAGCTTCCGGAAATAATACAACACCACTTGAATAGGAATTATTACTATATTTTGCTGTTAAAACGCTAGCATTAATGGAAAACATACATGAAAACAAGCATAGATCAGAATTCTCATTTGGCGTTTAATGCTTGTTAACGTTATATGCATCTATACTGTGTATATGAGCTCTTCTATTCGTTCCCCTTGGTTGCATTCTTCTTTTCGAATAAATGTTGGTAAATGTTAAGTCTTGGGATTTCAGTTTGATCAAGGAACAGAGGTTTCAGAGTTATAAACATTCTAGTGAATAAAATTGACAAAGTTAGCATTTTGAAGTTGAAAGGTCAAAATGGCACAAAGAACATAATTCGAGGACTAAAAGTCAAATTAGCACATAATTTTATAACTAGTTTTAAGCTTCAAAGATTACAGATGAGACTTGAGCTAAGACAGCTTAAGAGGCTTAGAATTTTGTTTATGCTATCACAAAAAGTCAAATTAGCACTTAATTTTATAACTAGTTTTAAATTTTAATTGTTACTGTGGCATAATCAGATTTGGATTATGCATTAATTTTTTGCTAATTACAATGTTTTTTATTTGCTCAGATTAATAATTACAATGCTTGCTTATGATAATTATTGATGTGATAATGATACCAAAAAAAAAAATCAAATTTATGAATATTTTTACACAAGATAATAAAAAAATCAAAACTATATTTGTTAAATATTTTTTTGGAAGTAGATATAGAAATAAATTCATTATAGAAATAAGTGTAATTAGTGCTATTAGTTTCTAGACTTTCATTTTTTTTTTTGACAATTTTTGTCCTTGATACTAAAATTAACGAATGATTTCTAAAATGTAACAAAGATAATAAAGTATTTATACTTTTAGATTTTGTAAAAATAATTACATTACATGTAAAATTTTCCATTTGTTATTATTAAACTCGTTATAAACTTAATAATTTGCACTTATTGTAATTATTTCTATAAAAATTTTAGCTATTATGCAATAATGATTTTGATTATTTACGTTAAATTTCAGAAATTATTCGCCAATTTTAATGTTACAATGTCAGGGTCCAAAACTATAAAAAAAATAATAATTTATACACTAAAATGTCAAAATTAAAAGTTCAGGGCTTGTCAATTTTAATGTTACAATGTCAGGGTCCAAAACTATTAAAAAATAATAATTTATACACTAAAATGTCAAAATTAAAAGTTCAGGGCTAAAATTTCGCTATAGCCAAAGTATAGGGACTAAACATACCAATTACCCTGAAAAAAAAAAAAAAAGAACTCCCTTTGTTCTGTTGTTCGGATAATTGGCAAAATAGCTTTTCGTTACCGTTATAACCGCCAAATTTCCCGCCCTTTCCTTTGACCTCTTTATCTGTCTCTTCGTTTGTTTCATCATCTCCGACTTTCACGTCAGACTGTCCAATTCTAAACTCTTTCCTCACGATTCTCTGCAATTCCACCCACCTTTCTACCTTCTTCCTTTCCTTTTGCTATTCGCTTTTAGATTCTCATCAGGTTCGTCCACAAAATTATATAATTCATCTGATTTAGTTTTACCTGATCGATACTAGACAAAGATTGGAATTTGGTGTTTGATTTCTCTGGAAAGTTATGTTATTTTATTGCGTCTCGATTGTCATCCGATGAAGGAAGGAGGGTGGTCGAATTTCTCGAAAAAAATGGGAAATCGCATTAAGGAAGATGACCGAATCGAAAAGATCATTCGGGGCCTTCTGAAACTTCCCGAGAATCGCAGATGCATCAATTGCAATAGTTTGGTATGAGATTTCCTTGGAGCTGATGTGTATGTATGATTTCTGTAGAAAGATTGTGCCCACAAAAACTAAGTTACGTTAATATGCAACCCAGTAATAATATGTGGAAATAATGGCTTCCAATATGTTTTACTTATTGCCTTATTGATCTATGTACTAGTGTGAGAATCTAGCGTTGAGAGATCTTAAAATTTGTTCAGGCTTTGATATTGTTACCATTTTATTTGATTGAACTAAAGGGCCACAGATTTGAGGTGTGGAATTCATCAATGGTGTGCTTGGTTTAATAGAAATACTTGACGCTAACAAAGTGCCAAAGAATAAGGACACATTTCTTCTTCTTGTGAACTAAGTGATAAAAGAATTCATTATCAATACATTGACCATAAAGCATGTTCTCTTTGCAGGGACCACAGTATGTTTGCACAACATTTTTGACATTTGTTTGTACAAATTGTAGTGGCGTACAGTAAGTATTGTTTCTGGTTTTACTTCTACTATCTCTCTCTATAGGCGATCTTCGAATGATCATTTCATAGTTTCCTTTATCCCTGTCGTCGCGATTTTGTATTCTATTTGTTCTCTGACTGACTTGGTTTTCTAATGTTTCAGTCGAGAGTTTACTCACCGTGTGAAATCGGTATCAGTTGCTAAATTTTCTGTGGAAGAAGTAAGTGCACTTCAGGTTGGAGGAAATGAGGTAGCCACTCTTTTTTTCTCACTCACTTTTTCCTTTCTTTCTTTTTCTCCCTCGCTCGCTTTCTTCCCATTTTTTCTTCTACTCTAAATATACTTCACTTGTTTTGACTGTCTTAAATTTAAATTTACCAGCGAGCAAGGCAAATATATTTTAGAGAATGGGATTCTCAGCGGCATTCTTTTCCTGATGGAAGGTTATTTAGAAAAGCTTTCTCATTTTTTGTATTAATTGGGTCATTTATGTTGAGCATTTTTCTAACAAATGCGTGCCTCCAGTAACCTTCATAGACTCCGAGAGTTTATCAAACATGTCTACGTGGATAGAAAATATACCGGTGAGAGGAGTACTCCACTACCAAGACTGAGATTGGTGAGCTTCACATTTCTATTTTGCGCGTCTTATTTCGTATAACAAAATTGGGAATCTTGTTCAAATCTTCATCTGAATGTTACACGAGAATAGCCAGTTTAACAAATTTGAACCTCATTAATTTAGTGATAGTTTTAGTTAGAAGCTTCTTGCTTATAATTTACAGAGTGGAAAGGAGGAATTTAATGAAAGCAGGAGGGTTGGTGGATCTAGAAGCTCGAACGAGGAGGACAAGTATGAACGATATTCTACTGAAAGATCTAGTCCTTGTGGAAAAAATGATGACAGATCTAGCAAATGCTACTATGACGAAAGAAGAAGTCCTCGATACTCGAGAGAATATATAAGACATGGAAGTTACAAGCAAAGTCCTGTCCGCTTTGAGATCGTTGATGACCGAATCCGGGATGACAGATTTGGAAACCGCAGGTTCTCACCGGGAGATTCCAAGTTACAAAGAAGGTTACCGAACACTAATGCTAAAAACGCGGATAGCTCTTGCTCCCCCATTGCACGTCCTCTTCAGGAGATTTTAGGGGACAATGTTCCTACTCTACAGGTTGGCAAAATTTCAAAAGAAAAGCATGGGGAGCATGCTGATGGTTTTGCTCATAATCAGGCAAGCAGTTGCTATAATGCTAAATATATGTGCAAAGCCCTTTTCTTTTGTTCATTCTTGAAATTGCATCACAATTTTTCTGTTTATCGTTTTGTTAATATAAATGAACATCTTCAGCTTGCTAGTTATTCTCTTTGTATAACTGTATGTTACGGTTGGATTACCGGCTAATTCTGTAAGATCCTTACTATCTTTTCCTAAATGAATTCTCAGTAATCAACCTATCTCTGGAACAACCTCGAATAACAGCTATATGATTATCAACCTTCTCATGTATAGTATCGTTGTTTGTTTAAGCTTGAACTCTTCTTTGATACACCTACAACCAGATATCAAGTTGCTTTGGCTTTTGTTTGAGCATTCATTCCATCACACATTTCTGGTTGCTTGACCTTTCTGTTTTTAGCACATAGTACATATAAAGTTTTTTTTTATTACTATATGCACCATTAGAGCTTTTTTGTCATAAAATATCTCATTTGTATCATTGTCTGTAACCAGGAATCTGTTGACGGGAAGCTAGTTGAACATAAAACAGGAAATTTGCAAAGCTTGATCGATTTTAGTACCAAAACCGAGACCACAGATGCTGCATCCATATCACAAACACAGCTAGTGTCTTCATTCAATAATGGTAGCAGCTCAGCATCAGCTGGATTATCAGCAAAACAGAAGTCGGCTCAGGCTCCAAAAGTAAACACTTTGGAAAGTTTACTATTTGGATTGTCAGTTCCTTCTGTTGTACCCGCAGATGATATTTCTGAAGCACCTGACAGTGATGTTCTCACCACTGCGCCTGGAGACAACACGCTTGCTGCTGATGTTGCTCCTCCAGCACCTATGCAACATATGCCAGAACTACTTGAAAGTGTTTACAATGTTCGAAAGCAACCTTCTATTGATAATCTGCTAACTGAAAGTGTTGCCAACGTTCCAAAGCAACCTTCTATTGATAATCTTCTAGAAGCTGCTAGCAGCAGTGACACCATTGTCCAGCAGTATCAGCCTCCTCCATCCCATGCTCAAGGAAGTAGCTTTACGTCGCAGCAAACTACTCTATCAATTGGGTTTCCTAACAATGAGGTGAAAAACATGATGTAGAATCTCCTCACATTTACTTTTGACATCACTAGTTCTATATGATCAATCAATCTGGACGACTAGAAACTTGAAGTATGACAAAAAAAAAAAAAAAAAATATATATATATATATCTATGAGGGTTTTCAAATTTCGTACAAATGGCTGGAACATGGTACTGAATTCTGTTTCTTCCAATGCATAATTGCAGTCAACTGTTCCATCATTGGCACATAACGGACAGACATCTACAAGCATTTGTGTCGAACAATCATCTCAATCTGTATCAAGAACAGTGCAGGATACCAGCGTTGGAGTTGAATCCGAACCTCTTCCAGTGGAAACAAAATCTAGTACTAGAAAAGAACTTCCCGCGGTAAAAGAACATTCTCAGTATCCTTTGAGGTTAAACTCATTTTCTTTCGGTGATATCGGATGTCTTGAATAATTCTCTGCAGGACCTTTTCACTACAAGCTTTTTACCAATCACTACGCCCGTTTCTTGCTGGCAAACTGGTCCACCCCATGGAATGGGTTTCAACTATTACCCTAACATAATGGTCAGTTGTGCCCCTAAACAATCAAGTTCAATGGGTTTTATCTCTCCTCTTTCTTTTCCGTAAGCAGGTGTTTGACATGCCATTTTGTCTTACAGCCTGTTCCAGCATTTCCAAACCCAGCAAAATCAAAAAATCCATTCGATATCAATGACGAACGAACTCAGGTACAAGCAACACCTGTATACGCAACATTACAAATGATGTCAAAACTGCATGTGTTGGTGGTTACAACATGTGATTCGGCTGCGAAATTGATATTCTTAAGATTCCATTTGTGCCTTTTGTACTTGTTCAAAACTGTTTTGTTATCTAAAACTAGAAGTTTCATTCAAAGCATGGAAGAAAGAAATGTTGTAAGCTTTACATTTGATTTGGTGGTGTAGTTTCCTTCTATGGGGTCATTACTAGGAGCACCGGTCGGTGTGTTGTCAGCTCCTACAGGCTTACTTCATGGTTCCAGCCTTGGACCTTATTCTTCGCCGTTGAACGCACCTTCCGGAACTGCCTTACCTCCTAGTAAATTTACTTTTTCCACCATAATTTAAATTTTATATTAATTTTGTTTCGGGTTTGTTTACGCATGATATTATCCTCTCAGGTGCATACATAGGGCAAGAAGGGCATAATAACATCCAGGCTACCCGGTAATGTTCTTCTTTGCCATTGGACCAGTTTGAGTAATTATTTTCAGAGTGACATCCATGTAAAATTCTAAAGCATGTCATATACACACACTTTAATTGAGGATTTTGGGTTTCTTAAGGACTATAAGATAGTTAAGGGCTTGAGTCCTGTTAAGGTAGCATAGCAATGTTTGAAAGTCTTGTTGTGCTGAAACTCTTACCTCTGTCAAAAAGGAGTGAAAGATATGTATAACAATAATATGCACACACACACACACAAGTTGAAACTGTCAAGTGCGAAGAAACCTAGGGCATATAAACGGTTAATCTTTTATAATAATTTGCCTTCCAAGACAACTGTACTCCTAATGGAAATTCACAGCATGAATATTTTCCCGTCCATCACCCCTATGAGGTTTTCTTCTGTCTCTGAGTTGTGCCTTACCATATTATGTACTTCTCCACATTTTGTTCCTTAATTGTTGTCATCACAACAGACCACAAGGAATCGGTGGCTTTGAAAGTAATGGGGCTATTTTTGGCGGCATAAACTCATGTCAGCAACCAAAAGGCGCATACTCTGCACCCGCGACCGCAAAATCTTCTTCAAAGGGAGGAAATCCATTTGAATAGACAGAAAAGAGAAGCATAAAGTATTAAACTTACTTTTGAACTTTGAAAGAAGTTGAAACTGGGATTCAGTCTGGTTAAGATTAAATGAAATGAGCAGCATGGACATCTTCATTCAAGACCAACACTTTTCAACATCGTTTTCAACATCATTGTATTCTTTGTACAGACTTAATTACCATCATTGTCAGACAATGTATATAAACATATCACATAATTCAGAAAGAAAAAAAGAAGATAAACAAATTGATATGTACAACAACACAATTATCTACTGGTTATCAAAGCCCTTAAATTCTTCATTGCGTGAATCAATTAACTTATTTGTTCACATTCTGTCCTTCTGGAGTCTCCTTTGTCATCCTCTAAGCGCAACACTCTCGAAGTACGTCTTTTCTGTAACAACATATACCATCAGATTCATTAGATTGCTTAAATTGAATACTGATCTCCATAGTCCATAGTAAGAAACATTCATTGAGAATGCGTACTGAAATATTGCAAGCAAGTAAATTAAAACTCTAACAAAGCTGATGACCATCTCCGATGCCAATGTTATATTTAGCACTAAAAAGTTTGAAAATTACATATTTGATATGTAATTCTGCTTTGTGCTACAACACGTAATGTTATTACACTATAGCACAAAAAATAGTAATGCATTTGACATAATGGTATAGCATTGACACATTAATTTAACCTAACGATATACGCTCTCAGCCTGGTTCGTTTTATTGGTTTGAATAACAACTCAAATTTTTTCTACAGTGTTTTTCCTAGTAAAAATTCAAATTCTTTTTGTGCTACAGTATTTTCTCCCATGTAAATTTACTTTTCAAATCGAGTTGAAAACTCGAAGGCCTCAGTCTAACAAAATCACATACATAGTCATATAGTTGACTACCGTTGGATTACATAAAACAAATACCTTTCAAGAAGCAGAATTACGAGCATCAATAGTATTGTAAATTTTCGATAGGCGACGACTTGGGGGTTTGGGTTTGGCGTTTTTCTTTCTCAAACCGAAAATCTCCTGCACCAAAGGGACGTGAACCAGCACCAGTTTCCACGCAGACAACCAACCTAAAAAAATCCATGTCACAGAAACATGAGGAAAATTGTCACCGATCGAGATCCTTAATTCACGTTAAAACTTGTTGTTAAAGCACGATCAACCATAGAGAAATCAAAATCCGATTCAAAACACTAATTTTTGATATCAGAGAGAGTGGTTACCGAGAAAAATTAAGAAGAGCACGAAGGCGATAGCGAGAGCTGGGCGTAGAACGAGAAGGTTAAGGTAATCCCAACGAGAGAGAGCAAGTTCAGAAAAAGATGACGCCTCCATTGGGACGACAACCTGCGAAAGTTTCAGGAATGAGGTTCGGTTTGGATTTGGCTTTTGAGCTTGCGAGTTGGGCGCAATGGCCCAATAGTTGTGGCTAGAGATCTGGGCTTAGTTATGGCCCTCCAGGCCCGTCGCGGGATCCACGAATCGGCACCGCCGCGTGCGGACAAAGTACGACAATGGCAACGGCGGAGGCGTGAGGGAGACGGGGATCTCGCGTCGACGCTGCAGAGGGGAGATCGTCGTCGCTACCGGCGATGGAAGGGAAAAGAGAGACGGCCGAAGAAGAGAAATTTTGATGAAAGAGACCGGAAGAAAATAGAAATCGGGGATCTAGACCTTTTTTTTTTCATAACAAAAAAACTACTGACGTGTATCTTATGTGTTAAAAAATGGACCATATTTTAATTTACGTGTACATTTTAATTTTTTTTCTCTCAAAACTGAACAGACCCTCACCCCGACTGACCTTTTTTTTTTTTGGAAGAAGAGAAATTTTGATGAAAGAGACCGGAAGAAAATAGAAATCGGGGATCTAGACCTTTTTTTTTTTTATAACAAAAAAATTACTGACGTGTATCTTATGTGTTAAAAAATGGACCATATTTTAATTTACGTGTACATTTTAATTTTTTTTCTCTTAAAACTGAACAGACCCTCACCCTGACTGATCCTTTTTTTTTTCTTTTTCCTTCCATGCCCAGACCCCCTTTCCTCTCTCTCTCTCTCTTTCGGTTCTCACCGACCACCCCCAATGTTGAACGACCTTCCCCAAACGCCGACCGATCCTCACGAACACCGACTGACCATCCCGAACGCCGATCGACCCTCCAGAACTCTGACCAGACCAAGAACCGACCACCAAACTAAGAACAGACCAAGAACCGACCACCAGACCAAGAACAGACCAATAATCAACCAGCAAATTAAGAACTGACCACCAGACCAAGAACAGACCAAGAACCGACCACCAGACCAAGAACAGACCAATAATCGACCAGCAAATTAAGAACCGACCACCAGACCAAGAACAGACCAAGAACCGACCACCAGACCAAGAACCGACCACCAAACTAAGAACATACCAAGAACCGACCACTAGACCAAGAACTGACCACCAGACCAAGAACAGACTAAGAACAGACCAAGAACCGACCACCAAACTAAGAACAGACCAAGAACCGACCACTAGACCAAGAATTGACCACCAGACCAAGAACAGACTAAGAACAGACCAAGAACTGACTGACCAGACCAAGAACAAACCAAGAACCGACCACCAGACCAAGAACAGACCAAGAACCGACCACCAGACCAAGAACAAACTAAGAACCGACCGACCAGACCAAGAACAGACTAATAACAAACTCTAATAAAACATTAAAAACATACATTTTTACATATATTTTAATTTTTTGGGTATGAATAACCATTGTAATTTATAAAAGAGAAAAAAATTTGGTAAAATAAGAAAAAACCAAGAACAGACCAAGAATCGACAACACTTAATCAAGAATAGACAATGATGTTTTTTTTTTTAGAAAGTTTCAAACTAGTCCCGAAGATTGGAGAGACATTTAATTTATAAAAGATAAAAAAATTTGGTAAAAAAAGAAAAAACCAAGAACAGACCAAGAACCGACAACACTTAACCAAGAATAGACAATGATGTTTTTTTTTTTGGAAAGCTTCGAACTAGTCTCGAAGATTTTAGAGACATTTAATTTATAAAAGAGAAAAAAATTTTGGTAAAAAAAGAAAAAATCAAGAACAGACCAAGAACCGACAACACTTGACCAATAATAGAGAGTGATGTTTTTTTTGGAAAGCTTCGAACTAGTCCCGAAGATTGGAAATACATTTAATTTATAAAAGAGAAAAAAAATTTGGTAAAAAAAGAAAAAATCAAGAACAGACCAAGAACTGACAACACTTGACCAAGAATAGACAGTGATATTTTTTTGTTTGGAAAGCTTCGAACTAGTCTTGAAAATTGGAGAGACATTTAATTTATAAAAGAGAAAAAAATTGGTAAAATATTAAAAAACCAAGAACAGACTAAGAATAGACCAAGAACCGACAACACTTGACCACGAATAGACAATGATGTTGTTTTTTTTTGGAAAGCTTCGAACTAGTCCCGAAGATTGGAGAGACATTTAATTTATAAAAGAGAAAAAAATTGGTAAAATATTAAAAAACCAAGAACAGACTAAGAATAGACCAAGAACCGACAACACTTGACCACGAATAGACAATGATGTTGTTTTTTTTTGGAAAGCTTCGAACTAGTCCCGAAGATTGGAGAGACATTTAATTTATAAAAGAGAAAAAAATTGGTAAAATATTAAAAAACCAAGAACAGACTAAGAATAGACCAAGAACCGACAACACTTGACCACGAATAGACAATGATGTTGTTTTTTTTTGGAAAGCTTCGAACTAGTCCCGAAGATTGGAGAGACATTTAATTTATAAAAGAGAAAAAAATTGGTAAAATATTAAAAAACCAAGAACAGACTAAGAATAGACCAAGAACCGACAACACTTGACCACGAATAGACAATGATGTTGTTTTTTTTTGGAAAGCTTCGAACTAGTCCCGAAGATTGGAGAGACATTTAATTTATAAAAGAGAAAAAAATTGGTAAAATATTAAAAAACCAAGAACAGACTAAGAATAGACCAAGAACCGACAACACTTGACCACGAATAGACAATGATGTTGTTTTTTTTTGGAAAGCTTCGAACTAGTCCCGAAGATTGGAGAGACATTTAATTTATAAAAGAGAAAAAAATTGGTAAAATATTAAAAAACCAAGAACAGACTAAGAATAGACCAAGAACCGACAACACTTGACCACGAATAGACAATGATGTTGTTTTTTTTTGGAAAGCTTCGAACTAGTCCCGAAGATTGGAGAGATATTTAATTTATAAAAGAGAAAAAAAATTTTCGTCAAATATTAAAAAACCAAGAACAGACTAAGAACAGACCAAGAGCAGACCAAGAACCGACAACACTTGACCACGAATAGACAATGATGTTGTTTTTTTTTTGGAAAGCTTCGAACTAGTCCAAAAGATTGGAGAGACATTTAATTTATAAAAGAGAAAAAAAAATTTAGTAAAAAAAGAAAAAACTAAGAACAGACCAAGAACAGACCAATAACCGACAACACTTGACCAAGAATAGCCAGTGATGTGTTTTTTTTTTTTTTTGGAAAGCTTCGAACTAGTCCCGAAGATTGGAGAGACATTTAATTTATAAAAGAGAAAAAACATTGGTAAAATATTAAAAAACCAAGAACAGACTAAGAACAGACCAAGAACCAACAACACTTGACCAAGAATGAATAGACAATTGTTTTTTTTTTTTGGAAAGCTTCGAACTAGTCCCGAAGATTGGAGAGATATTTAATTTATTAAAGAGAAAAAAAATTGGTAAAAAATGAAAAAACCAAGAACAGACCAAGAACATCTTGGTCTGTTCTTGGTTTTTTCTCTTTTTACCAATATTTTTTTTCTATTTTATAAATTACAATGGTTATTAATACCTAAAAATCAAAAAATATGTAAAAATGTATGTTTTTAATGTTTTATTAGAGTTTGTTATTGGTTTGTTCTTGGTCTGGTCGGTCGGTTCTTGGTCTATTCTTGGTCTGTTTTTGATCTGGTGGTCGGTTCTTGGTCAGTTCTTGGTCAGTTCTTGGTCTGTTCTTGGTCTGTTCTTGATCTGGTGGTCGGTTCTTGGTCGGTTCTGGTCTGTTCTTGATCTGGTGGTCGGTTCTTGGTCTGTTCTTGGTCTGGTGGTCTGTTCTTGGTCTGTTCTTGGTCTGTTCTTGATCTGGTGGTCGGTTCTTGGTCTGTTCTTGGTCTGGTGGTCGGTTCTTGGTTTGTTCTTGGTCTGTGGTCGGTTCTTGGTTTGTTCTTGGTCTGGTCGGTCGGTTCTTGGTCTGTTCTTAGTCTGTTCTTGGTCTGGAGGTCGGTTCTTGGTCTGTTCTTGATCTGGTGGTCGGTTCTTGGTCTGTTTTGGTCTGGTGGTCGGTTCTTGGTCTGGTCGGTCGGTTATTGATGACGTGGAATAGCTGATGTGAAAGTTGGCCTATTTACTCAATTTATTTTTTTGTGATTTATTTACTTAAAAACACTTTTTACTTAGTCTATTTATACAAAGGGTCCGCCGAAGAAAGAGTGGATGAGGGAAAAGGATATATTCGTCACTTTTTAGGCACAAAATTGGGGATTATGGGTCAGATTTAGGATTAGGTCGGATAGGAATTTTATTTTATTTTTCATAAACAGGTTATTTATTTAATCACAAGTTAATTAGAGGTTTAATAGAAATAACTAGTAATTTAAGGAAAACATGAACGTAGATGTTTCAGATAAAATAATAGTGATTAACTCCAATATCCTCCTCTCAAAAGTGGTAGCCAACCTAATTAACTCTAAAAATTAGAGCCAATTTCACAAATGGTATTTGAACGCTAGTCGTGTTCACAAATTAGAGCCAATTTCTTATTATTTTTTTTAAATTTGTCAAACGCTATTCGCCATTTTTTTGAGTCATTACTGTCTCAAGCATACCTATGCCAACCCGGGTTATCTATTATTTATGCATCATGTTGACCCACGGCAGCACGGCTTATCTTTATATTCTTGTCGTGTCTAATAGCAAACTAAAAAGATTTAAGAATCTTTAAGGATATGTTTTTAGCAAGCCGTCTGCATTTTTAATTTTGATAAATTATTTTCTTAACTTATAAAATTGTAATAATATGTCTCATTTTAACGATAATTGTGTTAAATTAATGTTAAAAAAACATATTCAATGAAAATTTTCAACATCTTAATTTAAATATAACACACATTTTATAATTTTTAAACTTTTAATCCCTTAAATCTAATAAAAATTTAAACAAATTTAACAAAATAAAACACATTATAATAACTTTATAAATTTAAAAAATTAATTGTTAAAATTAAAAATTTAATGAGTAATTTACTAAACCACACGACAAACTCAAGATGCAATCATACTAAAAACCTAAAAAAAATTATATAAAATATTTTCTCTTTTTTTTCCCTCACATCTTTCCATCAAATTTTATTTTCTTTCCCAGAATGTTTACTTTTCTCTCTCCTAAGTTACTTTTTTCCTTTTTACACAAGACCATCAATCTCTTAAAATTATTAGATTTTCTAATTTAAAATATGAGAGTCTATACGGGTGAGATTCTTATAAAAAAATCTATATCGATCTAACTTTAATTAAATTTATAAATATTCATATTAAAAATTTATAACAAATTATACACAATTATTTTTTTAAAAATTTAACCGTTAAAAAATTAATTTAACAGTCAAAATAAAATATTCTATCAATAAATTTTTTTTAAAGGTCTTACAGTAAAAAAAAAAAAAAAAAAAAAAAGTCCGAAAATAAATACAAATAATTTAAAATCACCAATGAAGATAGCCATAGGAGAAACATTGAAATCACCGCGAGTCGGCATATATTTACACCCAAAGAAGCCCCCGTCTCTGTTCTTCCTACTAGATTAATAATTTCTAGATACCTCGATAACTTCTTAAGAAAAAAAAAAAAAAGTGAGGAGAGAAAAATCTAAGAAAATGGAAATTGGGCAATTACCAGAAGAGTGTATCTCCCACATAATCTCCTTCACATCTCCTCGAGATGCGTGCAGGTCGTCGTTGGTGTCTCCTCTGTTCAGATCAGCTGCGGATTCTGATGTCGTTTGGGAAAAATTTCTGCCTTCTGACTACAAAAACTTCATCTCCCAATCAGTGTTGATCCCTGAAACGACACTCAATGCGATGCGCAAGAAGAGACTCTATTTCCATCTCTGCTACAATCCCATCACAATTGGCAACGGTAACATGGTAATTAAATATAAAAGCATTGACTTGTGATATTAAATTTTAGTGTATTTGATTTCTTTTTTATTGTTTTTTTTTTTTTGTGTGAAACTTTTGTAGGAGATTTCCAAGTATAGCTGTAATAACAATTATGTTGTTAACGTTGATGTGCAAGCAATTGATATTTTTGTGACGATCATCTTTGGCTTTGTTCAATGTTAGTGTGGTGTTTTTTTCTGCGATGTTTGGCTTTAGCGCATGTTGCGTCTTATGATGATAACCTTTGTTTTTTTTTTTTTGGGTTTTTGTTTTTGTTTTTGAAATAACAAATAAACAAAAGAACGTATGATATCCTAAAAGAGATTAGGATTCATTTTTTTAGTTTAAATCATGTTTATCTCATTATTATTTAGAATTTCATAATCTTTGGTTTTTTTCATTTTTGAGAAAATTACATATATTTTGTCATGATTTTATGAAAATATATTAGTTATGTGATTTTAAATAATTAAATATCATTATGACTTTTTATTTTTTTTCTATTAATTAAATGATAATTATCTTTTTTTTTATAACAGCGGTATAAATAATATTTTTTACTCTTTTGGGTGGTATTTTTTTGTTTTTTCCCTTCATTTTTGGTGTGATTGTCTTTTCTTCATCATTTGAAATTTGACGCATATTGCATCTTATCATGTGATTTTTTTAATAAATAACAAATAAGAAAATAAAGGGTATGGTATCCTCATAGAGATTAAGGGTAATGTTTTTATTTTAAGATTTTATTTATCTTTTATATTATATAAAATTTATTTAATTTTATCTTATTAGTTGGGTTAAATTTGTAAATAGGTTTAGCTATTATAATTTCCTTAGAGAACGGTTAATGAATGATTATTGAGATTATTGCTTTTTTTATTCTCCAGTTCTTGCTCTCTCTAGTCCTCTGTTTTCTCTAATTTGTTTACGTTTCTCTTTATTTAGGCTCCGTTCATTTCGCTGATTCGAGTTTAGAATTCGAGTTTTTCTACAGTAAAAAGCTCTCACAAACAATCACATCTAATTTTTTTGTTACAGTAAAAAACTCTCACATAAAGTCACATCTCAACTCGAATTTTAAACTCGAATCAGCGAAGTGAACGGGGCCTTAGTGGCTCTACTTCTCTAGTTCTGTTTTTATATCTATCTTTTCTATCTTAGTCTTACCATAAGACTCTTATGTTATAATCACCTTTGCCAAATGCGATTCCTTGTCTTAGATTAGGGTGAATTGGCAAGAAGTATCGGTGAAATGAATTGTTGATAAGCATTAAAGATATTTTACAATTAAAGTAGAAAGGTGTGATTTGTTCTTTATTCCATATTGTTTTCCATGTCTGATGAATGAGGAACCAATATTTTTTGATCCAGAGCTTCTCAATAGATAGACAAAGTGGAAAGAAATGTTTTGTGGTCGGAGCAAGAGGGCTCTCAATTGCATGGGGGGATACACCACAATATTGGAAATGGACTTCTCTACCTGAGTCTAGGTAAGCTTTCTCACCGCTCTTTTATTTATGGAGCACTTCGTACAGAAAATTTTCTTAAGAAGGGAGAGAAACTACAACCTGTTTTTTTTTATAGACACAGAATAAATGCAATTTATAATGCGCTGAATAATGGACAAATCAGTATATATAATTAAATTCTGAGCTTTTTTATTACATGGGATCCAACGGTTTGGCTTGTCGCGCTGTGGGGGGACTTAAAACAGAAAATGAAACTGACTATACTTATAGAACTTGGAACCTATGAATGCTATGGCTTTTCATACTTTAGTATAGCTACTCTATATGCGTAACTTAACTCATGGATAATAGGTTCCCTGAAGTGGCTAAGCTCAAGTGTGTATGGTGGCTTCACATCATTGCAAATGTAGACACCAGAATTTTGTCCCCGCAAACGACTTATGTCGCTTGCCTTGTCTTCAAGCTCGCAGAACGCAACCACGGGTTTGCAGATAGACCAGTTGAGCTGCGTGTTGATTTCGAAGGAAGAGCGAGCGGGGAAGGACTCAGCGTGCTCCTAGATTCTCGGAGAAACATGGCTCTTATACCTCAAGACCGGGGAGATGGGTGGAAGGAGGTTGAGATGGGTGAGTTCTTCAATGAAAATGGAGAGGATGGTTCGGTTTTGTGTAGTCTAAAGGAGGTTGACAATTACCACACTAAGTCTGGCCTCATTATAGAAGGAATTGAGATTAGGCCTAATGTTGGAATGTAAAAGAGATATATGGCCAGTTTGAGGTTGCTATGCTTTTAAAATAATTGATGTACTTTTAATAGAAATACTTCTTTTTACTTAAAGTAAAAGAAGAAGCAAGAGTAAAATCTAAAAGTTACATATAAGAATTTAAAAGTTGCATTAATTTGTGTGTAAAGTGTTTTTGTACACTTTTACCGAACGCTATAGTTGCATCGTTTTATTGTGTAAAGTACTTTTCAGTGTTTCAAAAGTAATTCCAAACACACTCATAAAGATGCCTTTACAAGTTCTCTCTCTTTTTCTTCTTTTGCAGTCTACATGTATTTGTTTGCATGGATACTAGCTTTTTTTTTTTTTTTTTTTTGGCAGAAAATATGTATTTGTTTTAAACGAAATTCAGTTGTGTAATTTGATTTGACTTCCTTGGCCTCTGCGAGCTATTTGTAATGTTTTCACTAATTTTTTAGTATATTCCTTCATTAAGCATTTTATATCAGTTTCTAAAGTACAACAGAAGATACTTGAGGGATATTGTTCATTACTTAAGTGTTTCCTTGAGACTATGTTTATAAAATTCTTTTTATTTTTTATTTTATTTTATTTTTGTTGTTTGCTCAAGAACTGTCCACCTTCGTTATTTTTTAACCTGGTTTATTTTATTAATTGAAAATTTTCATCAAAACACTAGTACTTAAGACGTGCCACATTAATTTTCATGACTGACTCTTAGTAAACTAAATTTTGTGAAAATTTCTAATCAAAGCACTAGCACTTGAGGTGCCTCGTTGATTTTTCTAACTTAGTAAACTATATTAATTGAAGATTTTCATCAACGCACTAGGGTGACACACCGATTTCTCTAACTTAGTAATCTAAATTAAGTGAAACTCTATTATGAACTCTACTGAGCAGTAAGATGGGTCTACATTTTGCATCTCTCATAGGAAAAACACGTGCATCCTGCTATATAATCCAAAATGAAAAAAAAAAAAGAAAAAAAACTCCAGTCAACTGTTGACTTTAAAGTCCCGTTTTCAACTTTTCTTAGCAAGAAAGAAAAGTTCAATATATATATATATATATATATTGTAGAAAATACCAAGTACTACAACTATAAATGGCCCAAAAAAACTATAAATGGCATCTGTGGACACCCATTTACACCCTACTGTGCTTTTGTCTTGCGGCAGCTCCACCAAACTCCGGGTATTGTTTTGTTTAAGAGCACGCATAGTATGGCAGCTTTCCATTCCGGAACACTTAGATCCTCCTCCATTGACCCGGGAATTACAACACTTGACAAATTCGCAGTAAAAACACGGAAAGAAGGTGACAGATTAGAATAGGAAACAAACTTGGAAATGGGATGTTGATTAGGAGCTATTGGCACATCTAGATGAAGATTAGGGGTTGGACTTTGGTTACTTTTGAGATTACCTGAGATAATTGGAGAGTGAGATTACCTGAGATAATACTGGTTCATTTTGTTGTAGTTAGTTCATTGGTGAATTGGTCGGTTCTGGCTCTGTTGGTGCAGGTAGTGACAGCGTGTTGATGCCGGGTTTGGTAGGAATTGCTGGTTCCTGATCTAGTGTATCAATGATGTACGACGAACAAGCTTCTTGGTCACTCTTCTCCCCCTGAAGCGTAGTTGGAGGGTAAAATGGAGTGTTCTAAAAAAAAGTCAAATCTCAGGAGACACATATCTTCTTACTTTGTGGACAGTAGCATCGATAACCCTTCTGAGTTGGAGAGTAGCCAGTGAAAATAGTTTTGATTGCCCTTGGGTCAAGTTTGGTTGGGTTGTGAGAGTGGACACGGATAAAGGCTGTACAACCGAAAGTTTTTAGTGGAAGGGAATTTAAGGTTGAAAGTTGTGGATATTGTTTGGTGAGAACAGATAAAGAGGGCTGGAAATTTAGGGTTCGGCTAGGTAAGCTGTTGATGAGATAGGTAGCTATTAATATAACATCTCCCCACAAGTATTTTGGGACATTCATACCATGATAGCACGAGGTGCTTCCGACAAATGCTGATTCTTCTGTCTCCGAGACTCCATTTTATTGTGGAGTGTCAACACATTAACTTTGATGAATGATCCCATTTTGTAATAGATATTCTCTCTGATAATGGATTGAAAATATTCTCTTCTATTGTCGATTCGTAGCACATGGATATTTGTCTGAAATTGGGTTTGAATCATATTTTTGAAATTTTTTCACACTTGGCGTGTCTCTGATACCTATGTAATCTGTGTATGATCATCATCAATGGACGTAATGAACCATTTTTTACCATTTGAGGCTGTGACTTTGGACGGCCCCAAATGTCACTGTGGATTAGTGAAAAAGGTTGGACAGTGTATATGGTTTTAGATGAAATGGCACTCGGGTATGTTTTGAAAGCTGACATATCTCACATTGAAACGAAATAGAATTTTCACCCAAATAATGAAGGTAACAAAACGGCTCAAATATGAGAAGTTGGGGTTATGGTGCCACAATATTATTTCCGTAGTACTAGAAACAGAAAAAGACTTAACACCAGACACAAGAGCTTGTCCACTCTCTTTATTTTCGTCCTCAAAGAAATAAAGTCCATCATGAATTTAGCAACACAATTATTAGCACGAGTAATTTTGCTAACATTGCATTTTAAGGTTAACATCCTTAAGATTCTAACCGTCTGCAATTTTAGTAGGGGTGTTAATAGAACAAGGAACGTAAGAATGAAAGAGATTGTAACAACCTATCATATGATCAGAAGCGCGTGAATCAATGATCCAAGGTTCCTTAGAATTAACTTAAGAACCTCTAACTTCATTGAGATTTCTGTTGAGACCTGCAAGAAAATCAAATACACGCTCTTTTTCAAGAACCCATCGCTGTTTTACGCTGCCCTCGACACATGTAGAAATAGAATCTTCTTCGAGAAATAAGTCGAGCTCCTACCATAGATCTTGTAAATCAGAGAAATATTGTATAAAGGACTGAGATCCTTTCTTTCAATTTTGACTGCAGTTCAAAAACTCGTGAAGCATTCCCGAGATCAGAGCACATCCTTCGCCTTAAAGAACATTTTGGCTCCATTGAGTTAATGAGCCATGAGAGAACGATGGAATTCTCAACCTGCTATGTTTTGTATGTCGGATCGGTTGTCGCTGGAGCTTTAATTTCTCCGATGATGTATCCCAATTTTCCTCTGCCACAGATGACAATCTTAATGGATCAGGCCCCCTGCAAGTAATTCTTGCCATCAAGTTTGTGGGCTGTAATCTGGAGTGAACTTGACTAACTATATGACCATGCTTCTAAAGCAAGTACAATGTTTACAAGTTCAACTTATCTGTAGTTTCCATAGCGATTTCATTCATATGGAAAATTGTTGTGGATTCTTTAGTTTCATAAAAATCAACGGTTTCAACTTATGGAATTATCGTTGGATAATTTCCTTGAAATCTACATCGAGAACTAATTTTTACAATAGTATTAGAAATATATCAACAAAATTGTCCTTCCATGGTTATGATAATTATGTAAACATATTGTTGTTACTTGTTAGTGATAATATCTTTTTTATTAACAGGTTCACTGAAGTGGCTAAACTCATTGTTGTATGCTGGCTTGACATTAAGGGAAAGATGGAAACTAAACTTCTGTCTACACAAACAATTACGTAGCTTATTTTGTCTTTAAAGCTAGCAGAAGACAGATTCGGGTTCAATCGAATTCCTGTTCAATTCCGCATCGATTTTGAAGATCGAGAAAATGGAGAAGGGACCAGGATCGTCCTAGATCCTTCGAGAAACAGAGATGGATGGAAGGAGATTGAGATGGGGGAGTTCTTTAATGAACATGGAGATGATGGGTCGGTGGATGATTACAATTCTAAGTCTGGTCTCATTGTAGAAGGAATTGAGTTTAGGCCTAAAGCTAGTACACAAGAAATAAATAGGACATCAGGGGTGAGCGCAATGCGGTTTGGGCGGTTATTTATGCAAAATATTCGCCAAACCTCAAGTGCGGTTAAAGGAATTTTTGTTTACCGCGGCCAAAAAAGCTAACTAAATAGCTACACCAATATTATGTGGTGTGATGTTGTATGGTACGTGGTTTATTTAGGTTTAAATCACATCTAAGAATTTTTCTTCTTGCTTGAACGACAATTTATGTTATGTTAAATGTTGTTAGTCTTTAAGGCTAAGAAGAAAGCTTCACTATGCCAATTTTTTACATTGGTCTAATTGTATGTTTGGGATTTGAGAGTGATGTAATGTTAATAAACTTTGTTCTTTGTGCTTTGATATTGAAATGACAAGTTCCTCTTCAGATATTGCATGTACTCTTGGTCTAACCATTTCTGTTTCCACTATTCCTATCATACATAAAACAAGTGCTTTTTTGTTCCATGGGTTTGAGTTACGGTTCAAACCTTTTTGCTACTGAATGCATATACGGAAAAGTTGACTCCTAGCTCTGGAACCTGTGGGGTTGCTCCAAGATATCATTTCTTTCTCGTCTACTTAGGGGGGTGGGTGTGGACACACATGCGCGGATTACAGATGAAGAGTACTGACGACATTTAGGGATCGATGGGCAGGTTAATGGTCCTAAGAGAGGTAGCGACCATTCTCAAGAACCAAAAAGACTGAGCTGAGAGAAGCCTTATGAGTCACTGAAACGACGGCAGTAGGATCCTTGATCTATCAATAGAGGGAGCAAAAAACGAGCTTTGCTCTCAGATCATTATAACCCAGTGCAAATGAGAGGAAAATGAAAGGAAAGATAGAACAACTCTCTGATTCGACATTCATTACTGGTATATCCTCCTCGTTTTACATATTGACGTAGTTAGCTTATTGAGATTCTATGATTCCGTTTTTCGTTCAATATTAAACTATACACATTGTCGTTTGAAGGTGGTTGTCGTGTTCCAAGTTGTGTGGTTTACGAATTACAATTGATTTTTTTTTAAATATTTTTATCGTTCTCGATGTTGCTCTGCTCCTATCCTCAGTTTGTTTGTTTCTTTTTCTTTTTTTAATTCATGTTCCCTTTTGATAGTTATTGTTTAATTTTGGATGATTATCGGTTACAAAAATTGTTGTCAAGGTGAACGTTGATGCTGCGATCAAACCCCACCTTGTTTTTATTGGCGTCGGCATGTGCATTAGGGACGATATATGGGAGTGTGCTGGGGGG